TAGTGCAAAAGTACAAATATTGGATAGATTGTGGGTACTGATAAGAGATGTGTAAAGCAGGATGTAGGGACTTGGCAACAGCATCAGAAAAAAAATGTAAGCAGCCTGACAACTCAAAAAATAGGATTCCTTCACCGATTTTTTGGTCGGTCCTGGGGGAAAAAATTGTGGTGCTCGCGTTTTATTTTCCCACCACACATGAATTCTGCGCTTCGGGATTCTCGCATCTTCCAGCGCTGGTTCTCCTTTCCATCCCCTTCGCAGTCCGACGATTCATTCCTCACATTTGTCGAACTAAATATATTTGGTTTTTTGGCGAACAGTTTGTTCGACTAACTCCTTTATGTTGGCGATATTTTGAGAAATATTTCGCACAGAAATGCGGAAGGACATTTTGCTGGTCAACTTGTTTATGTGGGCCTCAAGTTTTGACGGTTTTAGCGTCGTTATCGCTGGGAAATGAGGAGCCCGAGTATGATATCGACAGCGAAGACGAGGCGTGGTTGGCCGAGCGAGGCGGACATCTGTTGGCGAGCGATTTCGAAAAGATGATGGAATTGCTGGAGGGGGCCAGCAGTGGCCTGCAGATTTGTCAGCCAAGCGAAGCACGTACATTGCTCAAGGGATTCGACACTGATCTCGTTGATGATGTTTATGATTACTGGTTACAAAAGCGCAAGGTTCGTTTGGCTTGCTTGTTAATCAGTGCTTCGTAATGATGGTGATGATGATGTGGGAATTTACGAAAGGGAATACATTCCCATGGGATCACAGGAGAGCGGGTTTTTGGAAGAAAGCCAAGAGTGAGGGAAGGGGAAAGCATGAGGCACGGTTAAGAAGGTAGATAAGGGCAATAAAAAGTACAGGGGCGATAAAAAAGCAAATGAGGTAAAAAGTCAAAAATATGGTAAAATTTGAAAGTACATTTCATCCAGAAGTTTTCTAATATTTCAACTCATCCTTTTTATTGTGATAAAAAGTGGGACGTCCCCCTCCCCTCATGTCCCCGCTCTCCTGCCCAGATACGTGTAGATCTCAAGTACGGAGCTATGAGATTTTTTTGGCGGGAAAATTGCTAACTCCAGAACCAAAAAAGTTGGAATGCTGAAATTTTAACGAAATGTTCCCTGTCCAAGTACTGGTAGACAATTATCTTCCCGAAATTCGAGGACCTCTGAAAGTCTGATGTATTCGGGGCGACCCGAGTGGTAGCACTTCTGACAGGGTTGTCGATCGCTGTTCGAAATTAAATTGTCGGTAGCTGTTCGAAATGAAATTTGAGTTGAAGGCAATGCAAATTTTGATGTGTGGTTTGTGCTGAGCACGTAGCCTGATACATTCTGAAGTAGCCCGAGTAGTAGCAAATATCAGTAGGAAAATCATCTGTTTGCCTTATTCGATCGCTCGGCTCCTAGAATTTTTACGTTTTTAACATTTCTGATTAAATCGTTAGTTATTTGATTATCTGGATGCTCGTATTTGCTTAAGCAGAATATTCTAAATTTTCAGTTTTTTTTTTAATATTTGATGAGTACTTATGCGCGAAAGCAGTCCTACTGCATCATTATGGACCTCAGATTTGTGTAGCTGCAAAACGGACACTGAAATGTTTTGCTGATGCAAAAAATCCCTCCCTTGAAACACTTCGGTAGCAGTGTGATTTCTTTTGGACTGTGTCTGGTGGTGGTGGTGGTTATTATCACCCTTATCATGATTGCAATGGCAGTTATCATGATTTTGTAGGATGCTGCGGCATCGCGTAAAAATGCCTCATTGATTCCACGGGTAAAGACGGATGCACGACGTGATGTGTCCGGCTTAGATGCTGCTTATGTGGCATTTCGGCGACGTCTGGAGCGAATGCAGACGAGGAAGAATCGTAAGAATGATGAAGATTCGTATGAGAAAATATTGAAACTTGGTTATGATCTTGGCCGAGCCGCAGTCCTCTTCGATATGCTCAGGCGGAGGTTTGTCGCTGCTCAGTTCTGAATGGTTTTTGATATTTTGATTATGCAATCACAATCAATAACGATAATTATGTAATCACAATTGAGGTAACTTTAAAGGTGAAATTTGTGAATTTGACTACTGTTCTTATGAAAAATTAAACTAGAGGACTGACTCGGTGTAGAATTTTTTACATTCTGAGCAATCTCCGAACTAAAGAAAATGAATCAAATTTCAAAAAAAAGAAAAAAAAGGAGAAAGAACGATAACCAGCCCAAATATAGTATGTTGATAAGCATGAGTTCAGTAACATGTAGCACAGTTTCTGTGCGATAGGTTGGAAATTCGACTTCGCTTGTAAAAAAAACCAATATTCCTTGCAATTTTTCCACTTGTTTTGTTGGTAAAGTGGTACAGGCACAAACCGGAAAAATCAACCCGCCACAAAGCTTGCTCTAGTAATTTTTCGGTGGTTTGGCCTGTGACAGTCTTGCCAACGAGTGCTTGACTGTTGCATCTTGAGTACCTAAGCTTATCAACGTGAACAGGTACGGAAGAGGGGTTCCATGTCTTGGTTGTGGTGATTTGATTCATTTGACATTTAGTAAGGGTTAGAATAACTGGCCGTTTATTAAGCTTTTAGGAGGATCGCCGGGACTGATGTTGTGGAGCTGGCGTGTGCTAGCGAAGTAAACATGAGGAGTTGGTAATGATTAGGTTCAACTTCAGTTGAGTTACAAAATTCCAGTTTGTTCCTGCCCTCCTAAAAACCTATTATTTGCACGAACACATTGTTTTAAAGCCGATCTGGGTGGTTTTTTTTTTTTTTTTTGCAGGTACCACCTACTGTGTGAACCTCTTTTTTATGGGAGAACCGCATTTTTTAACCTGTATTTTCGTTGAAGAAATTTCTCAACCTGTCAAGCATTATTGCTTTGGCGAAGTTATGCATGAGTATAGTTGTCAGATTTTCCCATCCCATGTGCATTTGCTGCAATACTAGCAGTTAAATTGGTGTGCTGATTTTAGGGAGTATACGAAGCAAGCGGTCATCGATTTTGATAAAAAAATATGCAGTGCTCGATGGCTTTCGTTTGATTTCGGCTCTTTGATGTACCAACAATTGCTGGCCAAAGTGAGATTCGAGCGAATGGCAGCGATGAGCCCTACCGATGAATCGGTGGTAAGAGTTTTGTGCTCGACTTTTCCTTTTTTTTGCGCCGTATTTTTGGGCATCCTTGCAAACGTCAGGGTACACAACTACGTATGATGGATGTTAGCATTATTATTTATTACACCGATCTATGCAAATGGTGGCGATGCGAACGGAGATAGAGTAGGAATTTGGGGGGAAGCGGCGGCACTTTCCCGTTAGCATCGCTGGCGCTTGCTATATGTTCCCTGTGCGATAATACCACCAAAAAGGAAGAAAAAGTAGAGCGCTTGCTTGGGAAGCCATTTATGCACCCGAGGCATTTTGCACGATCATGGGGTTTTTTTTGCTAACATTTTTTTCTTTTTTTTGTTCGGAACCTTTTTGTAGAACGTGGTGCTGCAACAGGGCCACCATGAAAAGCTTATTCTTCCTTCCGATGATTTTGGCGTCTAGGTTTGCCAATTTCCCACAAACTGTTTTGCTTTATTATGGAGCGTGATAACATTAGTCTTTTTTTTTTTCTTTTGGGGGTAGGGGGGGGGTCATGAGTTCATGGGTTAGAAGGTCGTGAGTTTTTTTAAAAAAAGGAGTAAAAAACGCAGGTTAATTTCCTCATTTAGCTAGCTAGAAACCCAGAATCCCTCAGTGTTCGTTTTTTTTTTTTTTTTTTTTTTTTTTTTTT